TCCCACCCTCTGTCCCATTCAAACAAATTGAATAATAAGCAAAAATTTTAAATGAAAATATTAAAAATACAATTTTATGCTCTGGGAGTACAGAATTCCTGTGTTTCAGTCATAAAGGTGCATCCACACCTTGATGTGATTGCTTTGGGCTGAGTTCTTGCTGGTGTTGTTAATTTGTTGTTGCTATCCTTAGATATATCCAGCATGTGTCTGCAGCCTAGGGTCATATCACTCATGATATTTCACTTAAATTATATTGAACAGACTTGTGCAAATTAAAGAAACACACATTGCTCCTTCCTGTCTTCCATTGTTCCTCAGGAAAAGGAAAACTGGAACTAAAATAGTATAATCATCTTCAAGATTTTTTAGCCTGGTTGAAGAACTTTGAGGAAAATTTACATTAGCAAAAATCATTGAAAATTGTTGCTGCAGACTGAGCAGACTGTTAAGCCAACACTTAGCTAACATTCTAAACTGATATCCTGGTTTGAGTCCCAGAAACTTGACTTCAGATCTAGCTGCCTGCTAGTGTGCATGGGAAGGCAGGAGAATATGGCCAAAGTAACTGGACCCCTTCTACCCATGTGGGAGACCATAGTGAAGTTTCTGGCTACTGGTTTGGTCTGGACCAGACTTGAATGTTGTGATCATTTGAGGAGTGAACCAATTGATGGGTGATCCCTCTCTCTCTTTTCTCTCTCTCTCTCTCTCTCACTTTACTTGTCAAATAAATAAATAAGCAATTAAAAAGGAAAATAAAATAATTTTTGTAAATATGTAAAGTAACAAAATAATTTACTTCTGTAAATTAAACAAACATTTTTGTTGCCTTGTGATATATTCCATAGTCCTTTTGCATTTCATCCAATTCGGAAGAGAGCTTTGAGGCTCATATTCACATTTCCTTATGTGAGAAGACTATTGAGTTCCCAAAATGTTAAAAGAATACTTTTACGTCTCCAAAACTTCTGTCCTTGCAGGATTCAGTTCTTCATTCAAGCAAAGTGTTGAAATAGGAAACCCATAAACAACTCTAAAATCAAACACAAAAACATAAGATAATTTTACACAAAATTGATCAAGTCTAATCACCTCTACTTGCTACATGAAGTCATGATATTTCAAGTAAGAAGGAAAATTGAAATGGATTATACATGATGTTTGGAATTCAGTTTGGTAGAGAAGAAGAAATGGTCCATTTTCAAGCACAGAGATATGAAGACTTTAACACCCCCTGGTTTCCATGAGCAATTGTGATGGTGACATTTCTATCTTTATTTTTTAAAGATTCAATTATTTATTTTCAAAGTCAAGAGAGAGAGAGAGAGAGAGAGAGAGAAAGAGAGAGAGAGAAAGAGAAATATCTTCCATTTGCTGGCCAGATGGCTGCAACAGCCAGCGATGACCCAGGCCAGGCCAAAGTCAGGAGCCAGGAGATTCATTTGGGTCTCCCAAGAGGGAGACAGGTGTATAAACACTTGGGCCACCTTCAGCATTTTCAGCTGTTTCTCCCAGGCCATTAGCATGGAGCTGGATCAGAAGAAGAGCAGCTAGGACAAGAACTACCATTCATATGGGATGTCAGCATCAAAGGAAACAGCTTGACTCTGTGTGCCACATCTCTTATTTGTTTCTGCTTTGCCTTTTTGCCTTGTGGTCTAGACAGTCACTAAGGTTATTCTTCCAAAATGAAGGAGGTGCTGTTTACAGGAAGAAAGAAACTATACTGAATCCAGTCTTACAACTAGGAGGAGTTGATATGCAAAATGACTTAACAAATTTTGGTATTCATTTAAGCTCACCACATCAAACCAAGCCAGATATCTCAGTTCCATTACTGTGGGATCATTATTCAGTCCCCATAGCATCCAAGTCACTTTTCACAGTGTCCCTACTGGGAAATAGAAGGCATAATTTCTGCCCCTTTGATATATCAGTTTTTGTCCCTCTTCTAACAACGTTTTCTATTCTCATTTCATTGTTCATGTCTTTGTCCTAGGTATTCTCATTCTAACACCATATTGTCCAATTTTTCCAACTCAGCTGCTTTACCAGAGTCTTCCCTGTTCAGAAATCCATGCTTTAGATGAGAAATTCTCTCCTAAAATTGTACTCACTTTATCAATGTACTTTCTAATGGAGTGAAGGCAAGTTATGAGCATGCTCACATTAAATTCTTTATATCTACAAGTGAGGTAAACTGTGCCCCTTTGGAGGCCTTTTCATGATAATATCTAACTAAAGAGCAGGAACAGGACAGCCTCATGAAAGCTGAACTGTGATATCAAAATATACACTCCGTGTGCAGTAGTGATGTGTAGTGGGGCAGGTCTTTGCTGTAGAACATCGAACAAAGGAGAAGACAGAGAGGAGGAGATGGCACTACCCACCCTAGTGTTTCTCAAGAGAAAAGGGACTTCAATGGAAGACACTATCTCAGAATGTTAAGGCTCATATTTGGTGAAGATCATATTCAAGCCACACCTACCATATAAATAAAGAGTTAGATGCATTGTGCTCCCAATGCTCCTATTCATTGATCACCAGGACATCTTTTGTTGTGGATTTATCTCAGTTACCTTAGTGTTTGTGCTGGGCATTTGGAATTTGCATATTCCAAATATTATTCAATTATTAGTTCTCATTGTAAATTATGTAAATCAGCATTTGGATTCCTATGTCAATCCTACTAATTCAGTGGACATAAGTTTTCTGTGAATGATTGGACCACAATCAATTTACAGAAATCAGGCTTTGGCACCAGCAAAGAATTCTCCATAACAGTGAATAACAATCCTCAGAACCTGCACACCTTGCTTGAAAATATTCTCACCGCTATTTTTGACTGAGTTTGAGAATTATTTTCTCTATGAAGAATGGTGATATGTTTAGGAATCTTTGGAAGTATGATGCTTTCATTTAAATTATATGTTGGTGTGGGGTGCAACTCGGACTAGACTAAGTTACTGGAATTAAGACTTATTCTATGCATCTGCTCTCCCACAATATGGGGCTGGGAGAGGAGAAAACAGCTTCTACGCAGCTGCCTCTTGCCAACTTGAGTGATGACCTCCAGGAGCTGATCCTGCTCCTGATTGGAGGAGAGCAGCGTACTCGGCGTGTGGGCAGCCGAGTTAGGATTGGCGGAGGAGGACTATAAAGGAGGAGAGAGGGCATGCACCAGGAACATCTAAGGGGAACATCTAAGGGGAACACCTGTGCAGCCCCCGAGAGAGCCGGCCGGCGGTGTGCCGCTCCCCTGCAGAAGTGGGGAAAGTGGCCAGGGGGAACCGCCCTTCCACGGAGGTGGAAGGGACAGTAGCCAACCTGGGAAGAACCAGCAGCAAACCCGGGGAGGGCCGAGCAGACAAAAGAACAGCGCAGGGTCTAGTGTCGCTCCTCCACGAAGAGGGGGAGCGACAGTTGGAATTTCAGACCTTGAGGCATATTAGTGGTAAAGATAACTTTGATCAGATATTTTTCTTTTTTTCCATTCCAAGGCATATCTGACCCCTCATGTACCAACAGCACTTATTCTTTCCATACATAAAGTTAGATGTGGTGATCACTTTACCCTTCTACAAACGTTTGGCTTGTGACTCCTCAAAATGCTGGATGAAGCCTGTCAAGCCGGACATCAGGAATCCTTCTGGGCTTAATGGTGTGAATGGCTGTGCTTCTGCAATGGCCAGATGTTTCACGAGTAGAAGAGGGCAGGTAAACATTCTAGTTTAGGATTCTAGCATGCCAGTTTGCAACTCCAACAGTTCAAGGCCACCCTGTAATTATACTAAGATGACCTACTGTGAACATGTCTTTTGACCTTTCCTTGACCTTAAGGCAAAGGAAAAGTGAGTGTTTAATTGACATTGACCATCTAAGTCCTGAAATATAAATAGGTAATTAGGCTATAGCAGTTACAAAATAGTATTTTCCAACCCCTTCCTTGTCCAGATGGCTGGTTTAAAGCATCATGAAGTATGAAGAAATAAGAGGAAAATGTTAGCTTAGAGAGAATCACAGCTTGTTTGTGAAAAATTAGAAGACGCACCCTTTGATTCCTTGTGGCTCCCCTTCCCCCTTCCAAGTAGTTTTGAATTAAAATAGGGACAAAAAACATCTCCAGATTTATTTGGCTCTGCCATATTAACCATAAAAAAGATCTAGCCTGTTCCAATCTTAACCCAGCAGTAAACTATAAATCCAACTTCCCCTCTCTGCTGGGGAAATAAAATCCAAATACAGTAGCATCCAAATAATTATCAAGAGTTGAGCTGTGCTGGCAGGGTGCAATGTACAAGATTCAATTTTAACTAGTGATTACAGACCGGCAACCTTCTAGCCCTGAATGTCAAACGGCCATGTCACTTTCTCCTGTCACAGAGTATGTCAGGACTCACCACAGCCTGGTGACTTTTCATCAGAGGTAATGAATCTTGTACTCCTGAGATGGGAAATGTCACTGTGCCTCCAACCCCTCCCTCTCCCCCCACTCACACCCCTCATTCCCTTCCTGCCACCTGTCCAGGTCCTAATAATTAGGAAAAAGATGTTGTGTGTGACATTGCTTCTCACATCCGCACCAGGGCCCTGCGGCTGTCGATTTAAATTGTGTGGTCAGTACTCAACTTGCAACCATACGTGATGAAATGGCCAGCTCAGTGGGCAGTTTATGGTGCTGGGGTTTCATGCATCAAGTTCTCTTGTCCTTGAGCAATAAAATGGAAAAACAGTTAAGCTCTGACCTTATAGCCTGTATGGTTTGGAGCTCCAGTCCAGCTCCTGATAACTTGCCTTTAAATCTCGTGAACTTGGAGCTTTTTGTTTCTGACCCTTCGACTGCTGAGATGTCATTTGGGACACCAATGTGTATGGAGTCCAGATCTGCATGTTTGAGGATAGCGGGAAGGGTGTAGGGCTTGCCATGGCATCTGGTGGCATTTGGTGTCCAATGTAAAAATAAAAGAAAACAAAAACACCTGCGTAAATGCTTTGTTTAAATCCAATGAAAATACAAATGATAGGCATACAATCAATGGCTTTTGAAAACTATTTCTTGAGTATCTTAAATTAATAAAATAAATCCAAAATCTTCAAGATTTGGAGAAGGCACATATGAATTGAATATATTAAGAATATCAATTTTATTTTATTTTATCTAATTTTTAAAGATTTATTTATTTATTTTGAAAGTCAGAGTTATAGAGGGAGAGGAGAAGGAGAGACAGAGAAAGAGAGATCTTCCATCTGCTGGTTCACTCCTCACATGGCCTCAATGGCCTGCACTGGGCCAGTCTGAAGCCACAAGCCTGGAGTTTCATTGGGGTCTCCCATGTGGGTGGTAGATCCTTTTACTTTTCAAAAGAGAGTTATTTATTTGTTTACTTATTTATTGATTTATTTGAAGGGCAGTTTGACAGAGAGAGAAAGAGATGGACAGATGAAGAGAGAGAGATGGATTTTTCTATCTGTTGATTCACTCCCCAAATGAGTCAAATAGTCAGGGCTAGACTATACCAAACCAGGAACCAGGAACTTCATCCTGGTTTTTCACATTGCAGGAACCCAAGCACGAGGGCCATCATCCTATGTCTCCCAGACACATAACCAGGAAGTTGGATAGGAAGTGTAGAGTAACTGGGATATGAACAAAGTACTCCAATAAGGGATATAGGCGTCCCAAGTGGTGTCTGAACCCCCTGTTCCCCAATACAAGCCCTGTACCTTTATGGCTTTAATCATTTTTCAACATATTGGGTGCCTATTCCTAACCACTGAAAGAATAATGTAGCAATATATAACAAGATACCTGACATCAGTTAGTATGAGCAATAAGACATAGGTGTAATCTGCAGTAGTAAGTAGACAGAAACAGTCTGCACTGGATGAATAACAAGTCCCATAGGGCACAAGCCAGTTAAACTCTCTCAGATGACCGAAGAGACACAAAACCAATGTAGTCCAAAAAGCACAGTGTCAACCAAGGAAAAGGCGTCAAGTAAACATAATACAAATCAAGGCAGTGCACCATACTTCGTAAGGACAAGGGCTATCTTCACATTGGGCTATGGTGATTAGATATCCATGGAGCAGAGCAGTAACTTATAGCTGAGGTCATTAAATCCATTGTCATCCAACATAAGACAGATGGGCATGGAAAAACAAGGCTAATCATAGTGTCAAGGATGGTTCAAAGATCTGTGGAATTGCTATTTTCTCTTGCTAAATAGCTTTTTGTTTTCCGAACAGGTTAGGACTTTCTTGTTAATCAATATTTTAGGAGAAATACTTAAACCATAATGTACTAGGACTGGTTTACAGAAAATTCATTATTTCTAAATCTGTTACTTTCCTGCCTTCCCTCCCCTCATATTATATTTCAGACATCAAGTTGAGCACAAGGAATGAAACATCAAGCAAGGCAAACAGGCTCTTTTTCACAATGTAAACTAAGCCTAGATAGAAAAGATGAATAAGTGCATAGGCAATTAAAATACAGTGTTATGGGAAAATGAGAGGGTGTATGACTTACTAAGGGGGTCCTAGTAAGGGTAACTGGCCCAGTAGTAGGAGCATAGCAGCTTTCCTGAGAATGCCCTAAGGATGAAGCCATTTTCCTTTGATTCTCCAAGAAACCATATATTCTGAATAGATTTGATATTCTTTGATGGGAACTTGAAATTTCCTTTATCAGTCATTATGATAGGTCTGCTGGTTGAAGAAATAGAGAATCACTCTTATTAGTACCAGTATCTGTACCCTCAGTGATTTAATGCAGCATTTAGAGAAGAACTTCAAGGACAAAAGTGGGCTGCATTTGAGAAAGAAGTAATATTCTGAGCAAGATTTCATGGTATGATATTACCAGACATAAGAATATACCTTTCCCTTCCTTTCATCTTCTTTGTGCCATTTCAAATTGATTAGGAATGAGGATTGGGCAATAAAGTTAATTTTTTAAGCCAACTCATTGAAGTATTACAGAAAGTTGACTTTCTATCCCAGCAATACTCTCCATATCTATTTTTATTTTTTTTATCTTTATCTTTCAAATTCACTCAACAATAGATATTTTATCATGTGCCAGAGAAAGATCACCTCATTTAAGGGATCCAAGAGTAATAAAAATGATAGTCCCTTTCAACTTTAGAACTTGGAGTATAGGGACCAGCATTGTGGCATGGCATATATAGCTTCCACCTGTGATGCCAGCATACCATATATGCACTGGTTCAAGTCCCAGCTGTTCCAGCTCCCTATTAATGGTATGATAAAAGCAGCAGAAGATGGGCCAAATGTATGGACCCCTGTGAGATACCCATGTGAGAAATCTGGATGAAGCTCCTGGAAAATGGCTTTGGCTTGGCCAAACCCTGGCTGTTGCAGCCATCTAGGAAGCAAATCACTAAACAGAAGATCTCTCTCTCTCTCTCTCTCTCTGTGTGTAAATTTCACTTTCAATAAATAAATAAATCTTTTTGGAAAAATGAATTTGGAGAATAGGAGACAAAATTAGCAATATAACTGCAATGTAGTTTTATGCCTATTTTGCTATGGGGAACAATAAGTTGTGTTGACTGTCTCTGTTTCCTAACTGTAAGATTCGGCCCATCAAAGTTCACCGGATCTTTAAAAAAATGTAATGTCTATAAGCCAGCATATTTGTGTTTAATAATCTGCAAGAAAGCATTCCATCTGGGGAGTGAACCAGTGGATAGAAGACCTCTCTGTCTCTTCCTCTCTCTGTAAAAATGTCTTTCAAATAGATAAAATGAATCTTAAAAAATATTTAAGTGATTGTCTTCTGAGAGTTAACAGAAATATTCGTAATATTGTAGATAAAGGAAATTCTTCCTGGATCCTGTGATGATCCTGGACAGCTCAGAAATTAAAGAGATGATAGATGTGGCAAACTAAAAGAAATGGCTAGCAGCTCTTTGATTGGACAAGATACATGACAGACACGGTGTTCCAGTGCATATTTTATGAATCCAGTTGAGTTAAATTGCATATGTTCTTCTTTCATCACCAACTGTTAGATCTCAGTCTTATCTTTAAGTCAGGATAATTGAAATGCAATTGTCACAAGACAGAGAGACTTCTTGCCCAGTGGACCTAAGAAAACAGGCATCAACTAAAATAAGCATTTTGGTTAGAGAATCAAATTTAAAGTTTATATTCATCTAGTAAAACTGAGGATTGAAACCTAGAAGTATGTTGCCACTGTTGGCTGTTCCAGAAGTTTGAGTTTGGTTTTAGATTTTATTCTTTCCTTAAAGGGTGGTTACATGCATCAAGTTATGTAACAAATAAAACAGACTTATGTGTGATTATCAATCACACTGAAAAATAAAGAAAGCTGGCAGTAGTCTTATTGATAATCGATTGAAGGAATACAATTATATTCCCATAATCAATTTTTTAATTCAAGTAGAGGCAAACAATGAGCTTGTGAATCACTGTTTCTATAATTGTGCTGAGACACAAAGCTTGCTCCTCGTTGATGTACAGTAGACATTTGCTTGGTCAAGGTAGATGTTTGCGGAAAGGGCAGGTTACCTGGGAACTAGCTGCAAATCATCTTCATAGTGTGGATATTACCCTGGTTGACTTAAACCTCTCTAGTCACTATTCCATTCTCAAATTCATATAGGTGTCTTGGGGTTGTACAAACATTTTGTGCAATCAGGGGACACAAACTCTTTGAACTGCAGGAATGCCTTGGATGAAGGTGATTAGTCACAGGGTAAGTGAACTCTAACCAGTCAACACACTGGGACACATTAGAAGATAAATTGCTTTATATTATACTATAATACAGGATACATATTGTTAAATGTCATTAAAGATTTATCTAAACAAATGAGATACGTGACATGAAGGGTGAATCCTGACATATACTATGGACTTTAGTTAATAGTAATGTATCATATTTCCTTATCAAGTTTAATGATATACCACACTAATGTATGATGTTAATAACCAGGGAAAATTGCAAGATGGGGATACAGGGGTTGTTAGGATATATGGGAGTTCTTTGTACATTTCCCCTAAATTTTGTGGAACATAATTTCTCAAAAAACCAAACCCTATTAGTAGACAAAAGCATACTGTGGTGTGCTTGTTCATATAATCAATCCATTGCCCTTTTGTTAGTCTATGAGCTATGAGATGATTTTTGTAGTTTTACTTTTTATTTTCTATTGACTAACTTAAGAAACATTGGATAAATGGCAGTTAAAAATCTAGAATTTAGAAAATGCTTCTCTTTAAAAAAAAAAAAAAGTGTAGAACTAAGATGCGTGGATATTAGCAGACAATAGGAAATAACCATGGGCTGAGTCAAAATTTCTGGCATAAAATACCCCATGCTACAGTTTGGTCACCAAAGTGGGGTTCATTTGATGATCTGAAAGTAGCTTCATATTAGCCAATGACCTTTCAGGAACTGAATCAAGATCTTGGTTCACAGTTATGGGAATATGCCAGTATCTCCTGGCATTATACTGTCCTGAAATAATCTTCCCTGGAATGTCCATATAGTTGCATTCACCTTTCTGACTTAAATTCTGGATTTTTTTTACTGACAATTAAAAAATAAAAATAAAATATAGTGACAAAAAGATGTTATACTTGAAACCAAGAAATACCATCCTGAAAATTCTACTTAAAGGCAAACTTCAGAAATTATATTTCAAATAATCCTAAGAGGACCAATTAATAATTGTAAAGTGCTTTGAAGATGGAAAGAGCTAAATTAACATCAATATTTATTTATTAATAATCAGAGGAAGTGATGCTGCCATTTTGAAATTGCCTCTTTTCCTATCAAGTGCTAACTACTGCCCTGATTTTACCCTCTTAATTTCCTCTTTCAGCCACATTTACCATGTGGGAATACACATTTCATGCTTGTGTTTAGTATCTCATTATGTGAAAATATTTCCAGTTCTGCATACAGGATTGGAAGGAGTTGGTGCACCTTATGTGAAGCTGTGCATTACAATGGCATTTGAAAAAGTTTGGTCTTGGGGCTAGCGCTGTGGTGGAGCGGGTTAACACCCTGGCCTGAAGCGCCAGCATCCCATATGTGCACCAGTTCGAGACCCGGCTGCTCCACTTCCTATCTAGCTCTCTGCTGTGGCCTGGGAAGCAGTACAAGATGGCCCAAGTCCTTGGGCCCCTGCACCTGCGTGAGAGACCTGGCAGACGCTCCTGGCTCCTGGATTCAGACTGGCACAGCTCCAGCTGTTGCGGCCAGTTGGGGAGTGAACCAGCAGATGGCAGACCCCTCTCTCTCTCTCTGCCTCTCCTCTCTCTCTATAACTCTGCCTTTCAAATAAATAAATAAATCTTTCTTTTTAAAGTTTGATCTCACATGAAAATAATTGCACTTAATAGTTAACACTAAGTACAGTGACCATCACAGAACAAGTACTCAGTAACAATTTTTTTAGTGAATAAATAATTGAAAATACAAATTAATCCAGCCCATTGAATACAAAGTGTGAATGTTAGCATTAGACTCACCTCATAACTATTTGCATCATTGAGATATCTGTTTTTAGCATTCATTGGAAATCAAACAAATTATGTTAACTTGCTTTTCACTTGGTGAATGCTGTGTAGCAATCTTCATTGCTATAAATGCTTTGGTAGGCAACAGTGTGTGGGCTGTGTTACTTCCAATAGTGTTGGAAGGCATACCAGTGGGGGAAAGAAACTAAAAAATACTAAACAAATAATTAAGCACTTTTGCTCCTTATTTAGTTTCCTGCTAATGCATCCAGAGAAGTAGTGGATGATGGATCAAGTGCTTGGGCTCCTGCCACCCACATGAGATTTCCATGGATGGATTTCAAGCTTCTGACTTCAGTTTGGCCTAGCCCCAGCTATTGCAGCCATTTGTGGGTTACACGGTGGATTAGGGATTAATTCTCTCTCTCTGCACCCCCATCACTGTCACTCTGTCTTTCTACTAGGTAGAAAGAGGATGTATGGACCAGCAGAGAAAAGTCACTTTGAATATGACAAATCAGGTCCCATCAGTTAGGAAAGGGCAAATGTTCTGGCCCATTTGTTGACTAAATAAATATATTACCATCCAGCACTTAAAATCCTGAATTGTGCTTTGCGGAAGACATGCCTCTGTGGCATTTTGAAGGTATGAAATTTCACAGTCCTTGAGGAACAGCCCCAATAATATTTAGGTGGAGACATAACAAATGAATAAAAATCCAGTCACCTGCTAAACCCTACCACCTCTATGAGGTTTTGCTTCCTCCTTTAACACATATGTAGTACTTCCCAGATAAAGTTTCTGGTGAAAATCCTGTACAGATGAAAGGGAAAAAAATGTCAGTGAAAACTTTAAGTCTAGTTGCATACCTATTGAATGCTTGCCTCTTGATAGGAAACTGATTTTGGACAAGTGAGGGACATGCAGGACCATTTCTATATAGGCAATTTGGAGGATTTTCAAAGATCTAAGTATGCCCTCTTTATGACCAGCAATATTTTGGTCTAAGATAGCATCCATCTGTTACCAAGGAGATCCTCTATTAACATCTGTATGTGATGGCAGATACAAACTCAGAATGCATTGTGGTTGACTGATCACTAACAAAGACAGATAACAATATAAGCCAGTGTACATCTGAATTCTACCATTAGTACTATATATGCATGGAAATCCACAGGGAAAATTTTTAGTTTTCCTCTGTTGGACTCTGTTGTTCCATTTTGCAGTATGGAAATACAGGAAAAAGTTTATATAAACCAAACTTTAACTCCTGAACCCAAGTAGAATTGTGTGCAAAGGCAAGTTTAATAAACTTATTTTCCTATATTAACCTTGCCTGCTGTAATGATCAGTGCAGCTTCCATACCAACTGGTTGCCTTGGTGGTTAACTTCCTACAGAAGTCAGGAATATCTTCTAAATATTTATTGGACATATCCTTTAGGAAATGCTTGTCATCTCTTTACTGTCTTCCATTTCTGCTTCAAACTTCCCTGCAACCTCCCTCCTCTCCTTTTTTAAAAAAACTAGTTTCTTAAGTGTCCATGCTGATGATTAAGAAGAATATTGTTCCAAAACTAACATTTTAAAACAATTCCATTATTTTTGGTTTAGATTTCCAGACACCTCTTACTCACATACTAAAAAGTTATATTACATGACTGCTACAGTCAGCGCAGGGGTTTGTCCTCCAAAGAGTCATGTGTTGTCAGTCTGATCCCCAGTATAATGGTGTTGAAGTGTTGGGGCCTAGTGAAACATAATTGGTCCAGGGCCTCCACTTTTATAAGTGAATTAATGCTCTCTCAAGGGAGTATGTGAGGTCTTGCAGGAATGCATTAGTTCCATGAGAGTTGGTTGTAATAAAAACAGTCTCCTCAATGCCTTCCCTTCTTCTTGACATCCATCTTCTACACATGACTGTGTCATTTCTTACTTCTATACCACATTGTGGTGCTGTGGGTTGAAGCAGAGACTGCAGAGGGAGGCCAGAGGGCTCACCAGGATGCCAGCTTTATGCTATTTGGGTCTTCCTGATACCGGAATTGTGAGCCAGATATACTTCTCTACTTGTTAACTACCAAGTCTAAAGTATTTTTGCTAAAATGGACTAAGAGATCTGTCTAAAGTCAGGAGGACTTTGCATTGTGATCTCATCACCTTGGTACCCACCTGTGGAATACAGAGTGAGGAGGAGTAATTAAGGAAGTATACAGGAGGGTGTCCCAAAATATAAATTACATGTGAATGGTGAAATTATATCTCAGCTAGTATTCAAGAGAGTTTGTTGAAACAAAATTGATTTGGATTCTCTTGAATTTTATCTTAGGAGAGAGCCATGTTCCAGTTTGAGGTAAAAGCTTTGACTGTAGCCATGCCCCCTACATTTTGCTCCACATTTTCCCTTTCCTTCACTGAATCTTTACCATTACACTGCTATTTACTACTAAATAAGAGTTCTCACCCATTATCTGCTCTCAGTCATTGTCTGTCATCTATTTTACAATTTTAAAAATGAGATTTCCCCTCCTGTTCCAGAGGGAAATCACCCATACTAAACTGCTAGATTTTTCACTTCTCACATCCCTATGTAGTCTTCTCAGTTATATTCTCTTAATCCCTAAATCACTGTTGGTCATCCTAATACTGTCATTTTAATAGTATGTGTCTAAGTGAAGACTTGGATTTCTCAAGGTGGGAAATACCAACCTGAGAAATCTTTCTTCAGTGCTAGCACTATATCCTATGCTTTCATGTTTTCTAAAATATCTTACACAGAACTGGGAATATTAGAGATGATCATATTTGATGTGACATTTGTTTGACAAATTGATTGAATCTTTGTGTTAGATCACACCAGAGATGATTGTTCTTTCAATTCATTGTAGTTCTGTGCATGGGAGTTATATGGTCTAAGCATAAGATACAATATAATTCTGAATACGCATTGGGAATTCTAAGAAACAATATTAGAAATTGTGTAATCCAAATTATAATAAAAATAAATTACATACTATTTTACAAATATATATAGGTTAATATAAATTTTCTCAATTTAGCAAAAGAAAACAATAAAATACTCATTGTAAAAGCATAAGAAAATTGTATGGTTTCTCTCTCTCTTTCTCTCCCTCTGTCTCTCTCTCTCTCTCTCTCTCTCTCACACACACACACACACACACCACTGTATGTCAAACAGATATCACATAAAACACATGAAACATAAGAAACACTAAGCATCTTTTTTGAGCTTTGACAACTAAATTAAATTAATTTAAGGGAAGTTAGATCAAATAACTTACATTGTACAGTTAAGTTGCCATTCAAATAGCACAGAGTTTTCTGCCTGTCATTTAAAATAAATTCAGTACCACAAGTTTTCCATTGAATGAACAGAACTAACTGAGGGCATCCAAGAAGAAACCTTTATAGATAATTGGCTAGCTCTGGGAGCTAGTGTAGTGGAACATGACTCCAGATTGAATCAAATTCTGGAGTTTCCCCAAAGAGAGGACTAAAGAATGGGGAGGGGGGAGTTTCTATGCCAGTTAAAGAGTGATTTGTACTTTCATTTGTGTAAAATTTTATCATTTGCTTGATATATGAACATTCTTATATGCCTATGTAAGAAAATTTGGTCTGTATCTTTTATGTTCTGTGTATTATGAAATAGAACAAGGAAAAATTTGTATTAATTAGCAGCACAATGAGCACATATATAAGCAAAATTCTACTTTCCATTTTTTATCTTAAAAATTATTACCTTAAAGTAAACTTTTGCATAATCATCACCGTGACACTTATCAGGCACAAGACTGTCTTTGACTAAAATTTAACTTGTTAAATTTCAGTATATTAATGACAACATCAGAAAATAGAAAGAGCTTTATCCTTATATTTGATGCTAATAGTTTAAATAAAAAATCATTTAGTAACCCATCAACTCTTTTTCAAATTTATGGTTATTAACCCATTAATACATTTGGTCCATTTTCATTTCCTCCCTTCCTTCTTTCTTTCCTTCCTTCCTTCCTTCCTTCCTTCCTTCCTTCCTTCCTTCTTTCCTTCCTCTCTTCTACCTATCTATTCATAAATCCATCTATTTATCATTTCTTTGCCTTTCACCATAATCTGTCCACATTTTAACCCTCAGCTCATGTTTTGTATATATTTCTATGTCTATTGTCTGTGTAAAGCACACAATATCATATCCAAGTACATAAGACAGACATATTTAAAGACATGTGAATACTCTGTGAATATAAGGAACTTTATCATCAACTATCTTGCTATTATACATAATATGTGCTTTATATTAAAGCTTGGGGTTTTGTTTTGTATAAGGCTAAATATCTCTATGTTCAACTTATACCAGCCTCATTTTCAATCCATCTTATCTCTCTTATTTCTCTTTCCTGCTTGATCCCTGGTTTATTTGAAGGCTATGCCAGCTTCCTATTGCTTGGAGTTATTGTTGAGTTTTTATAATATTTAGCAAGATTTAATGAGAATGATATGTGTCTATTGTATCTTTGATAAAATAATTAAGTATTTAGATTTGATTTCTATGGATAGGATGAGACAGGTATTTCAGTTTTAAACATCATTTCTTATTTTTCTAATGTGCATTCTAACATTACTAATATGGAATAGCCTGAATCCTCAATGCAACTTTCTGCTCTGTGTAGCAATGAAATTCTACTTCTCCATAATTCTACTTTTCAGTTTCACTAGTTTTAGCCAAAGAATAAAGGTGGTTTAAGTACTCCAGGGATTACAGAGAGTCTCATTCACTATAGTCTTGAATGTCACCCCAAAAAGTTGTGCAGTGTTCAGTATGACAGCCTTAGATGTAGTGTCTCTTTCCCCTTCACAATTCATCGAGCCTTGCAATTCAAAAATTGAGCGGGTCCCAATTGGCCTTGTCTGTGTTTCAGTGGTGCACCCTGAATTGTATTCTATTCTTGCTGGAAGACATTTCCTTCTCTCACTCTGCATTTGGAAGCTAGAAATGGAGGAAGTTTCCAGATTCTTTGAACACTGAAGGTAATGACAGTGGGAAAAGCAACAGTTCTGCTGAGTAGAATATAATGGTGGTTGAGGTGTTTTCTCTAATAAGATGAGTGACATTAATCACAAAATGACCTTTCCTCTGGCAAGATGCCTAAATGGAAAACTCTACCATAAATGAAATAGACTGTAGGTGGATGACCTAACACATTAATAAACAGATTTTTTTAAAAAAGGCAAAGTTGTCTAAAGAAACACACAGAGCTCTGCCAAAGGATTAGTGGTGGTTCATGATTCCTGTTAGCTTTTAAAGAGGATTGAATGAGTACAATAGTATCTTCAAATTCTTCTGGAAGAAAATCAATGGAAAGATTTGGACTTATAATAATGCAAGATGACTTGCCAGATGGCATAATTCGAAATATTTTTATTAGGAAAATATTCTCATTTTAGAGGCGAACAAGAGTGATGAACAGGGATTTCTTTTCTGGCCACCCTCAGCAGATATTCGTTAAATAGAAACTACCATATTCCTTACTATCAGCCATGATAGAACTGTATGGAATGTTGTCCTTGTCACCTCTAATCACCCATGGACTCTCCAATAGAACTGAGAGTGATCTTGATGATGTGGCAGCAAGAGTCAGAGTGCAAAGTTATTTTATTCACTAACTCCAGCCATAAATATCCTGTATCCTTTCAGTCATAATGTTTTTCTGCCACCTACTAAACATTGTGACATACCATTCCACTTGCATTTATTCGTTACAGTTGTACTTATCTCTCACTCACTTGTCACATATCAGATTTCTCCAACTACAGCAACTAGTTGCTATTTACGATTGTATATTTAACAAAATGCGTTACATAATACCTATTTATTAGATCTTTGATCAACTCATGAAACATTCATGTGTTATTTCAATGTGTGAGTGGGATGAGACTCAAAGTTCAAATTGAAATATTTTTTATTAATTTTGTAAAATATCTCCATACACAAATGCTTAACTGTGAACTCAAGCTGCAGTTTGTAAATCACACGGGCTAAAGTAGATTCACAAGGATCCACAGGTTCATTCATATAAGCCTGGGGATTCTAGGATGGCTGAATAGGGAAAAACCATTCTCAACAGGGGAAGATACTAGAAAAAAACTAGAGGCACAATATACCCATGGGAGATTTGGGGAGATGTTTTCAGTGGAAATTCCTCAGTAAGAGGAGGAAGGCAATGGAGCAGTGTGGAAAGTATGGACATGCAGCAGAGAGCAGGAACAACACAAAGGAATCCCACAGCTGAGGGCTTGAGGAAATGCCAGACTCTGAGCTGCAGCACACTGACTTTGATTCTGGCCTGCAGCCCTACCAAGGCCAGGGTACCCACCTAATCCAGCGAAGGAAAAGCACATTTCTTTTTCTCATTCTCCAACAATGGTGCCTGGCAACTGGTGGGGAAAAGGCACCATCTGGATACCAGAACCGGCTGTGGTGGCTTTTGTCGTTGTGACAAGGCAATTGATACTAAAGAAATAAAAAGAATTATCAAAAATCACTACACAAAACCATATGCCAACAAATTAGAAAATCTAGAAGTAAAGGATAGGTTCCAGGATACATACAATCGACCAAAATGGAGTCATGAAGACATAGAAAACCTAAACAGACTAATAACCAAAAAATAATGACCCTCCTAAGGGTCAGCACTATGTACATAAGATGTTAAACTGCCATTTACAGTGCCAGCATTCCCTGTGGGCACCAATTAGAGTCCTAGCTGCTCTGCTTCCAATCTAGTCACCTACGAATGCTCCTGAGAAAGCAGCAGAAGGTGCCCCAAGTACTTGGACTCCTACATCCATGTGGGAGACCTCGAAGAAGCTCCTGGATCTGGGCTGTGGATCAAGTCAGCTCTAGCTGTTGTGGCCATTTGGGGATTCAATCAGCATATGGAAGATCTGTCTCTCCTTTTTACTCTCTGTAATCCTGCCTTTCATATAAATAAATAAATCTTAAAAAAACAACCAAAAACTCCAAAGAAAAGCCCAGGTTTGAATGGCTTCACTGGTGAATTCTACCAGATATTTAAAGCAGAACTATTTCCCATTCTTCTCATACTTGCAAAGCAATTGAAAGATTGGGAATCCTCCCAAACTCCTTTTTTATAAGATCAGCATCACCTCAATTCCAAAACCAGAAAAAGATGCAACAAAGAAAGCAAACTATACATAAATATCCATGATGAACATAAATGCAAAAATCCTTAAGAAAATATTAGCTGATCAAATCTAACTTAAACATCATAAAGTGAGAATTGTCCTTGGTGATCTGGAATGGTTCAACATACACAAATCAATAAATGTGATACATCACATTAAAAAATTGAAGAATAAAACCATATGATTATCTCAATAGATACAGAGAAAGAATTTGATAATATACAGCATTCTTTCATTATGAAAACTTTAAGCAAATTTGGTAGAGAAAGAACATTCCTCAACTCAATCAAGGCAATACACCACAAACACACAGTCAGCATCAAGTTGAATGGCGGAAAGTCAGAAGCATTTTCACTAAAATTCAGAACCAGACAAAGATACCCACTGTCTTTTTTAAAAACAGAAAACTTTTATTTAATAAATATAAATTTCAAAAGTACAATTTTTGGATTATAGCTGTTCTTTCCCCCATAACCACCCTCGCACCTGCAAACCATCCCATCTCCTACTCCCTCTCCTATACCATTCTTCATTAAGATTCATTTTTAATTAACTTTATATACAGAAGATCAACACCTTATTGAGTAAAGATTTCAACAATTTGCACTCACACAGACGCAAAACATAAAGTACTGTTTGAAGACTAGTTTTAATGTTAATTCTCATAGTACAACACATTAAGGAAGAGGTCCTATACGGGGAGCAAGTGCATAGTGACACCTGTTGTTGATTTAACAACTGACACTCTTATTTATTTATGATGTCAATAACCACCCAAAGCTCTTGTCATGAGTTGCCAAAGCTATGGAAGTCTTTTGAGTTGCCCACTTTCATCATTGCTGTGCAATATAGTCTTGGAAGTTTTAGATGGAGCAATTAGGCAAGAAAAATAATTCAAACGCATACAAATTGGACAGGTAGAAGTCAAATTATCCTAGTTTGCTGATTACACGATTCTTTATATAGGGGAATGAAAGACCATTAAAGAGTATTGGAACTCATAAAACAGGTAAAGCTGCATGATATAAAATTAACACACAGAAATCAATAGCCTTTTTATACATAGACAAACCATGGCTGAGAAAGAAACTATAAGATCAACCCCATTCACAAAAGTTACAAAACTTTCAATTATTTTCAAATAAACTTAATCAAAAAGGTGAACATTCTCAGTGATGAAAATTACAGGGCTGGCGCTGTGGTGCAATGGGTTAATGCCTTGGCCTGAAGCGCCGGCATCCCAAATGGGCGCCGGTTAGAGACTCGGCTGCTCCACTTCCCATCCAGCTCTCTGCTGTGGCCTGAGAAGCAGTAGAAGATGGACCAAGTCCATGGGCCCCTGCACCCACATGAGAGACCCAGAAGAATCTCCTGGCTCCTGGCTTCAGATCGGTGCAGATCTGGCAACTGTGGCCGATTAGGGAGTGAACCATCAGATGGAAGACTACTCTCTCTCTGTCTCTGTCTCTCTCTCTCTTTCTCTGCCTCCCCTCTCTGTGGAACTCTGACTTTCAAATAAATAAATAAATATTTAAAAAATAAATGTTTATAAAACATTAAAGAAATAAATAGAAGAAGTCAAAAGAAATTGAAAAATCTTCCGTGTTCTTGGATTGTAAGAATTAATATCATCAAAATGTCCATCCTACTGAAACCAATTTTAAATTCAATAAAATCTATGTCTAAATACCAATGATATCTTATCATATTTAGAAAAATGATGCTAAAATTCATATAGAACACAAAAGACCCTGAGTAACTAAAGAATCTTAAACAAAAAAACAAAGCCAGAGGCATCCCAAGAAGAGATTTCAAGACATACTAAGGGTATAATCAAAACAGCCTGGTACCAGCAAAATAGAATAGACATACAGACAAATGGAACAGAATGGAAACTACAAAACTCAATCAATGCATATACACTCAACTTATCTTTGACAAAGGAGCTAAAAATCAATCCCTGGAGCAAGGACTATCTCTTTAATAAATGGAGCTGTTGTTGATTTAACAACTGACACTCTTATTTATTTATCATGTCAGTAATCACCCAAAGCTCTTGTCATGAGTTGTCAAAGCTATGGAAGTCTTTTGAAAAACTGGACCTCTTTATGTAAAAGTATAAAACAAGACCTCTACCTTACACCTTACACAAGAATCCACTCAAAATGGATCAATGACCTGATCTATAACCCAATACCAAAAAAATACTAGAGAACATTGAGAGAACTCTGAAAGACATTAGAATAGGCAAAGACTTCTTGGAAAATATCCCAGAAGCACAGGCAATCCAAGCCCAAACTGACAAATGGGATTACATCAAGCTGAGAAGCGTCTGCACTGCAAAAAAAAAAAAAAAAAAAAAAAAAAAAAAAAAAAAAAATCAGCAAAGTCAAGGAGCAGCTAACAGAATTGGAGAAATTATTTGCAAACTATGTGATTGATAAAGGGTTAATATCCACAATCTATTAACAGTTCAAGAAACTGAAAAACAAAACAAACAATTCAGTTAAGGAATGGACAATGGATTTGAACAGATATTTATCAAAAAGTAAATTCAAAAGGCCAAGAGATACACATAAAACTGCTCAGGATCGCTACCAATCAGTTAAATGCAAATCAAAACCACACTAAGTTTTCACCTCACTCCAGCTAGAATTTCTCTCCTGCAGATATCAATAAGCAATAAATGCTGGTGAGAATGTGGGTACAAAGGTACCCTAATACACTTTTGGTGAGAATGTAAACTAGTACAGCCATTGTGGAAGATAGTTTGGCAATACACGAGAAATCTGAAAATAGTTCTACTATTTGACCCAGCAGTCCCACTCCTGGGATTTTACTCAAAGGAAATGAAATCAGCATATGAAAGAGTTATCTGTAACCCCATGTATATTGCAGCTCAATTCGCAATATCAAGGATATAAAATCAACCCAGATGTCCATCAACTGATGACTGGATAAAAAGAATTATTTATATATACACTGTGGAATATTACTCAGCTGTTATAAAGAATGAAATCTTGTCTTTAGCAAAAAAGTGGATGCAACTAGAAACCATTTAGTTAGTAAAATAAGCCTGTCCTAAAAAGATTATACCAGTCCCCAAAAGATACATACCATATCCTTTCTCTGATCTGTGGTAACTAATAGGTTACAAAAAAATGTAGTGTATAATTATTTGCATTGCAATTTGTGTAAAATTTTTATTTCTATAAATTGTTGAGAGGAAATGGCTGAAAGTCTAAATGGACTTAATTATTATCGTGTAACCTCACAGTAAATGTGTAGATGTTATGTTGTTATTTGTTTTATTTCATTGAAAGAAATTATGAATAAAAATTGCCAAAAATATCATGTATATGGGTGAAATGATCATTTTTCCATTCAATTATTGTTTATAGCAATTGTGACTGTTTCGACTAAAATAGGGTTTGTCTTTTTGGTTTTTATTTGTTAAATTTTTTTTTTTTTTTTTTTTTTTTTTCTTTGACAGGCAGAGTGGACAGTGAGAGAGAGAGACAGAGAGAGAAAGGTCTTCCTTTTGCCGTTGGTTCACCCTCCAATGGCCGCCGCTGCAGCCGGCGCACCGCGCTGATCCTGGCAGGAGCCAGGAGCCAGGTGCTTTTTCCTGGTCTCCCATGGGGTGCAGGGCCCAAGCACCTGGGCCATCCTCCACTGCACTCCCTGGCCATAGCAGAGAGCTGGCCTGGAAGAGGGGCAACCGGGACAGAATCCGGCGCCCCAACCGGGACTAGAACCCGGTGTGCCGGCGCCGCAAGGTGGAGGATTAGCCTATTGAGCCACGGCGCCGGCTTATTTGTTAAATTTCTTATGCAGTGAAGTCTTAAACCTTTTTACTGCAATGTAAATTTAAAATATGTTATCTCAAAAAAAAACAAAACAAGAAAGGAAAGAAAGGTAGAAGGAAGAAGTGTGGGGGAAGAAAGGGGGGGGAAGGAAGGAATACCATTATGAACTTAGACTTGTATATACAAATCATATTAGATCTGTTAAAATTAATTAAAATTAAGGCAAAATATGAAATTAAAAAAAGAAGGGTCCAGCACTGTGGTGCAATAGGTTAATTGTCCGCCTGCTACGCTGGCATCCCATATGGGTCCCAGCTGCTCTTCTTCAGATCCAGATCTATGTTATTGTCTGGGAAAGCAGTGATATATGGCCCAAGTCCTTGGGCCCCTGCACCCTAGTGGGAGACATGGAAGAAGCAGGTCCTGGATCCTGGCTTCAGACTGGTGCAGCTCCAGCCATCGTGGCCATCTGGAGAGTGAACCAGCAGATGTAAGACCTCTCTCTCTCTCTCTCTCTCTCTCTCTCTCTGCTTATATGTAACTGTTAAAGTGAAATGAACACTATGAGAAATGGTGACTTGATCAGCCCTCGCCCTGACTGTTGATGAACAACTTAATATGTTATCCCTCTTAGTATGTTTTTTTTTTTTGTTTGTTTGTTCTACTTAATACTTTTGGTTGAATACTGTAATCAATACACAATTCTTCTTAAGTGCTGAAACTTAACTGAAAAGTGATCGCTGTTAAATATAAGAGTGGGAATAAGAGAGGGAAGAGATGTGCAGTTCGGGACATGCTCAAGCTGACTTACCTCCAATGGTAGAGTTAGAAACATACCAGGGGATTCCAATTCAATCCCATCAAAGTGGCATGTACCAATGCCATCTCACTAGTCCCAGTGATCAATTTCTGTTCACAATTGATCATAATGATAGGACTAAGAACCAAAGAGATCACATAAACAAGAATAGTGTCTGCAAATACTAGCTGATAAAATAAAAAAGGAAGAGAACGATCCAACATGGGAAGTGAGATACACAGCAGACCCATAGAATGGCAGATGTCCTAAACAGCACTCTGGCCTTAGAACCAGCCCTTAAGGCATTCAGATCTGGCTGAAAAGCCCATGAGAGTATTTCAGGCATGGAAAGCCAAGACACTCTGGGGGCGGGGGGCAACAACAACAAGAACAACAAAACCTAAATGAAAGATCTCTGTGAGTGAGATCCCAGTGGAAAGAACAAGTCTTCAAAGAAGGAGGTACCTTTCTCTGAAGGGAGGAGAGAACTTCTACTTTGACCATGGCCTTGTCTAAATATGATCAGAGTCAGTGAACTCAGGGGGCTTCCATAGCCTCGGCAGCTCATGACGAGAGCCTAAGGTGATTACTGATGCCATAAACAAGAGTGTCAATTTGTTAAGTCAACAACAGGAGTCACTGTGCACTTACTCCTCATGTAGGATCTCTGTCCTTAATGTGCTGTACATTGAGATTTAATGCTATAACTAGTACTCAAACAGTATTTTTCACTTTGTGTTTCTGTGTGTGTGCAAACTGTTGAAATCTTTACTTAATGTATGCTAAACTGATCTTCTGTATATAAAGAGAATTGAAAATGAATCTTGATGTGAATGGAAGGGGAGAGGGAGTGGGAAAGGGGAGGGTTGCAGGTGGGAGGGACGTTATAGGGGGGAAGCCATTGTAATCCATAAGCTGTACTTTGGAAATTTATATTCATTAAATAAAAAGAAAAATAAATGAAACAAATCTTTAAAAAAATGCAATCTGATTGGTGCACAGAGTTCAGATCAGAGAAAATACTTCCTGCCCCTTCTCTCTAACCAAGTGGATTGTAACCACCAGTGTGATCTTTTATAAAAAGCTAAGAAATGTGGAGTAAAGAGAAGTGATCATATAACTATAATAGTACAGTCAAAGCTGGTATAAATGAATTCTGAAAACCATACTGCTGCCAATGCTGGACATTTTGAGTATGTACAGATTTATACAACAAACATAAGATGGGTTTAAGCACAAAGAAATTCATCAGATGAACTTGTGAAAATATTTTTCAGGAGCACCATATGAAGTCTTTAATGAACTGAGGAAAATTACTTGAGTAGTATTTATAAAAGCAAGAAATTATAAGAATAAAGCCTTAATTTGAAATTCTGTGTGGTACATCATCATCTAAAATGCAAACAGAAAGCCTATTAAAATGTTTTAGTTTTACTCATACTAACTATTATTGTTTTTCGTTTTTATTTCAACTAAATTAATTCCAGCTTAATAATGGAATTTGTGGTCAGTCATATCTAGCATTTTCCAAAGCCCATTTTTCTTTCTCTTAAAAAAAGATAGCATTAAGAGAAATTACTATTGATCCAAATCCTGTCTTTCACCTGCCTTCCATTTACCTATGGCCTTCTTTCCAATGGCTTAAACAACATTAAAATATGTTAATGTACCTCATGTTCAAGGAGCACTAAAAATGTCACCTGTGTTCTAACTATCCAAACTCAATATCAATGGCCCTCAGTGAGAGCACAGTGGATGGCATTGCAGATGCATCAAATGCAGTACAGTCCTTTATTTTAGCAAAGGCCTAAAGTGATCTCTAGTTCAATATGGTGGTCAAGTGCTTTCCTTTTTCTCTAATTCACATTAAAATGATAGAGGGAATAAAAGCAAAATTAAACTCATAAACCTTAATAGAAAAGACAATAGGGCAAAGGACATCATCCAATATTAGATTTTGAAGTACTATTGGGAGTTGAAAAGTAGATGGCAACTCTGAAATTGACCAAATAAAGTTGTGGAATCTACTGTTCAGGATTAACAGGGGAAGAGATACCAGAGAAAGAGGGAATTAATCTCTTACCTTTGTGGAATAAAATGATTAAATATGAAAAAAATTACAAAAGGGCACCAAGATTAGTAGATGGGCAGAAGTAGAGGGTCTGTCTCAAATTCTGTCTCAGGAACAGGAAGCAAACACATCGATAATCCTCTCCTCTCTCTCTCCTACATCCTTGGTATAACCAATATGCAAGAAATCACCCACTGATAGAGGCAAGATGTAAAAGACAAGAAAGGCAAATAATAATCTACATAACAAAAATGATGATGCTTACATTAAAGAAATATTACAACCTAATCAGGGAGAGTTAGAAGCATTAATTAGTTGTTGGCACCACAGAAAAAAATTCTTCCTCTTTTGGCAATCTAAAAAGAGCCTGGCTCCCCTGTGATTTAAGTGTGTTGCTGGCCAGTTCAGGCTGCTGATTGAAGAAGAGATTTTGCACAGGAAACAAAGTCTAACTGATACAGCAACAGAGAAAACTACTTCACTCCCTGGTAAAAGCCAACTCAATATTTCCTATTTTGAATTTGAGTAAGTAAGTTATTCAGGAATATAAAGAAAACCAGTAACACCAAAATGATGGAACTATTCTGGTGGAGATAGAAAAAAAGAAAACCACTTGAGGAGATGAAACTGAAACAGAAAATCTAATTAATAGTCTCAGAGAGATTTGACAGATACTACCTAAAAATCAATACAATAAGGTTGAAGAACTCAACATAAACCTAGAGCACAAAGGACAAAGAGACATAAAATATGTGATAAAATATGAAAGGCAGAGGAGAACAACCCATGATATCCAACATACAACAAATCTAAGCTCTCAAAGGAGAGAGTACGAAATAGAAAGGAAAAAAAGATACTAAAAATAAAAGGAAATTTTGCATATTGGAAGAAAGATATGAATCTTTCTATTTAATATGAACTCAGATTACACAAAAAAGAGAAAGAAACTTACTGCTAAACCTTTAGTCTGGAAATTTCAGAGCACAAAGAGAAAAAGAGCACGATCTAAAAGTTGTCAGTTACTGTGTCAGAGGAATGAGAACTCTGCAGTTAACTGCCCAGTTCCGAGCATGAGTAACTTCCTGGCTTACCGATTTGTGGGTCAAACCTCATCAAATGGCTACCAGAGCCAAGAAAGTTTCCGAACCTTTAAGCTTCCAAAGGCATACAAGAAAGAGAAGAGAAAAATATTGTTTGAGAACATCAATGTCTGCAACTGTTAATTCTATGAATCTTTGTGAAAGTTTGTGTATAGCACATTCTAGTATGATGGAAGTTAAGATATGAAGAAGCATGTTAATTTTACTCAAGAGATATGTACAGAAGCTGAATAATAAAAAGATATCATTGTACATTTTACTGTGGTAATATATGCAACACAATGCTTATTATTTTAATCTTTTACTTGTGTTTTAATTGGCATTAAGCACATTCGCATTGTTGTGCAACTGTCTTAGTTCATTTTCTGCAACTGTAATAGAATACGTGCTACTCAGCAACAGGATATGAGGAGAACTTTATTTCTCATAGTTCCAGAGGCTTGGGCCTAGCATCCAGCGAGGCCTCGATTTCTATGCCATCCTATGGTAGAAGCTGGGAGGAGTGAAAGACAGTAAGAGGGAACAAAACATGACCTTTTATTATGTCACCAAGCTTGCCTATGAGAGTGGAGCCTTCATAGCCCAATCACCTCCCAAAATTCCCATATCTTAATAGATTGGCAACTAAATTTCAACTTGAGTTTTGGTGGAGACTTATAACTTATAACAACAACCATCTTCACAATTAATCTCCAGAACGTTTTCATCTTCCCATATTGACACTATATTACACACTAAATGAAAACTTCCTTGCCCCTTCCCTCCATTACTTAGAAACCATGATTCTATTTTCTGGCCCTGTTAATATGACAATTCCAGGTACCACACTGGACTATTTGTTTTCTGCCTCATTGATTTGGCTTTGCTTAATGCCTTTAAAGTTTATCAACATTGTAGCATATGCCAGAATCCTGTTCTTTTCTTAAAGGCTGAATAATACCCTATAAAAGTGATGAGACATTTGACAAATTTCCATGCCATCCTTGAGCAGGGCAATTCCAATTTCTGTATCTTTCCAATTTAATATAAAGTATGTGCTGCTGAAATGAGCACTGATTGATAGGTTTTCTAAAGAAATTGCTTAATTGCAATGATAACCATTGAAAAGCTGAAATATGACATAAGGATTGAGTAGAAAATGGAAAATAGAACATAGGGCTAATATAATTTAGCTAAATCTTCACATTCAATGTATATGAAATGATAATGCCTATACTTGATAAATTAAGGAGTCATATGCGCATGTTGCTTAAAATATGAATGTAACCTCCATAAAAAGCAAAATAAATAAATAAACAAAGTATTACCTTTGAAACCCAGACTAGAAAATTGAGGAAGTAGATGAAGAGGTAAGTTGTACTTTTTTTAAATTTAAGACATTCTGCATTATTGTGACTTTTGACAACAGATATGAAGGATCCTCTTCCACATACCAAACAAACCAGTGAACACCCAATGGGCACCAGCAGATGTCTTCTACTTCATTTCAGCTCCAACATCATCTACCAAGAGATAACAGCAGATCCCAGAGCTTAGGGGATCAATTCCAAGACTGCCCCTCCTCTTTAGAACCAGTTCCAAGCCCCAGGTGTTTTACCTGAGTTTCTGACCCACCAGCTACAGATCAGGATTACTGCAACCCTGTCCTCTGATTCAATTAGTCTGTTGAGTGGCTCACAGTACTCAGAGAAACTCTTACTTATGTATACAGTTCATTATAAAGGATATTACAAAGGATGTAGAAGAATAGCCAGAAGGAAAGAGATTCAAAGGGCGGGTGTGGGGAGGGACATGGACTCTTTCCAGGGACTCTGACTTCTAGGAACCTCCATGTATTTAGCAATGTAGAAGCTCTCCAAAATCTGTCCTTTTGTATTTTTATGTAGGCTTCATTCCATTTGAGTGATTGATTATTTATTTATGCATTTTAGAGGTTTTATTTATTTATTTGAGAGGTAAGGTTATAGACAGAGAGAGGAAGATACAGAGAGAAAGGTCTTCTATCTACTGGTTCACTCCCCAAATAGCCACAGCAGCTGCAGCTGAGCTAATCCAAAGCTAGGAACCAGGAGTCTCATCTGTGTCTTCCACATGGGTGCAGGGGCCCAAGTACTTGTGCCATCCTCTACTGCTTTCTAAGGCCATTTTCAGAAAGCTTGAATGCTAATGGAGCAGCCAGGAAAGGAGCTGGCACCCATATGAGATGCTGGTGCTGCAGGCAGAGGCTTAGCCTACTATGCCACAGCACCAACCCCATAATTGATTATTAAATCCTTCACCATTGCTGATGAACTTCACCTTCAGTCCCTCTCTTGTCTTTGAAGATTAGAAGGTGGGAATGAAAGTCCCAACCCTCTACTTTGTCTTTCCAGTTAACTGTTTTCTTCCTTAAGCTATTTGCTCTCAGCCATCACCCACTTCATTTATATCTCTGAAAATGCTTATCATTTTGGAGATTAAAGGAATATTAGGAGTTGTATGCTGGGAAATGGGGAAAGAAGAGCAAATATATACTTCCCAATTTCAAACCTTAATGTAATTTTATTACTCTTTCTCTATTCCTGCCCTTTTCCCTTTTTAATTTGGCATAGTTGCCTCTATTTACATTGGTCTTGTTACTTGCCAGTGTGTTTGATTTCACTGAAACCATATGAATTTCTATTTCCATCTACCAATACTTGTTCAGCACACTTTCCACATCAGTTTCAGAGCTACCGAGAGTCTCAGCAAAGACTCCAGCAGTGAGATTTGTGGATTAGTCCACTTTCCTCTGTAGCATCCCTTGGTACCTGATTTTCCTATGTCATGTAAAGACAGTCACTCCCAGTTGATATTTCTCTTCTTGACTAATCTAAAGGCCTAGTATCTATCTCTTAGCAAAACTTCTTCCATAGCTGACAATGAAAGTTTGATTTCACAAGATGTACCCTCTCTATGTTTATACCCAGAGCACCTGAAATAGGAGCACATTCACCACACTTTTTGGCAGATGAAGAGAAGTATAGCTTTGTATCTTCAAATGGATGAGGAGAATCATTTAAATTAAGTTCTATATTCAGTTTTATAGAGAAAACATTGTTTTAAACAAATACAATGTTTCCTTTTGATCTGAAAGCCACAGTAGATTTTCCTCAAATGTAAATATTTCCTTTGAGTTTGGATTTTGTTATTTTTCATTATATTTGATATTGATAACTTTTGCAGATGCAAGCACTGGATTAGGACAAGTGACAGAAGATGACAACATAATCTCCTATATGCTGCACATGTCAAAGTTTATGTTCTATAATATTTCCAGTCCAAGGTGTCATACTATAGTAAAGAAAGCTAGGAACTCCTAAAATTAAATCTGCCACATCATGCAGAGACCGAAAATCATACTAATTAAGAAATGCTTAAGGGATCTGGGATATGCCACCTGGGGAAAAGAAGAATGAGGAGACAGTAGATTTTGAATTTGTTAAGTAAAAGCTAGAAGCTTTGCTGTGTGAATCCATTATGTAGCGTTTGGCAATTAAACAAACTGGGACCAACTTTTATTCAACATCCATGAATTCTGTGTCCCTCAAGGAGGTCACCTAAGCATTCTAGGTCGCAATCTTCCTTTTCTGTAAAATGAAAGTGTATAGAATGCCTACAACCCGTGATTTCCATGATGATAAACCGAACTCCCACACATGCTTTAGTGTATACCTAGCACATAGAGAAAGACAATGCACTCATCATCACCATCAGCAGCAGCATCATTACCATGATTACCAGTTTATTATTTGTGCTTCAAAGGTGAAAGAAATACTAATGAATGAATGTCCTAGCTCAATAAAAAAGGGTGACTTCCTTAAAAGATGAAACGACTAACCATGGGACAGAGAGAGTTCAGTACAATAATGAGCTTCCAATGGCCATCTCACAGGAATTCCGTAATTAAAAGGAGTTTCTGCATTAAGAATTAGGTTACCTGATGATCATTATTCCTCAGATATAATGTAATGATTAAGTTCACACTGCTCATTAGTGTCAATAAGTTTGGGGGTGTCAGTGTGGTCCCAAACTGTGCTCCCTTCTAGTTAATAAGGAGAATGTTTGACTCAGGAGTTTCTAGGCACTATTTTTGCATAGTGCTGCCAGGCAAAGTTGTTTCTTCCACCCCATGAGCAGGCAGGCCTCATTCTCCTCTTGTTTTCTAATCATGAAAACCTTAGGAAACAGACACTGCCTGTTCTTCCTCACTACTGCCCCAAGAAAATGACAAAATGACATTCTTTCCCACATTCTGTGAAATGATTTCTGTTAACAGCTCTGGAAAATGCTGCAAAGATGTGAGAGAAATGATGGCAGAATTTGTTGACAAGAAGGCAAAATGGGGGAATTCAGAAAAAAAAATCACCCACATTAGAGGCTTGAGGCCCTGTGAGTTCCATCTGCTTCTCTCCTGGCCTGGGGTTGTCTCAGAAACATCTCCAGGGGATCACGCTCTTTTAAATGACTCAATCGATGTGGCTTCTAATAGAGTCTAATGGAACTTACATTAGCAGTTTTGTTTTTAATTTGATGTTTAGTCTAAAAATTTCTCTGATTAATTTAACCAGTTTCTTTTATTTGATGGTGGCAATGATTTTGAAACAAAGGAAAGCATGCAACTTTAAAAATGTCATTGTGTAAGCATCTCTTAAAATATCCTTATTTTTGCAGGAACACAGGGCTTCATTACCATTCAAACATCTGGTAGAAAAGTGAAGTCTCCTCACAGGTAGGACCACCAGGAGTCTATGTTGCATTGATGTATATATTCCCACTCTAGAGGCTGGGATTAGAACAATCTAAAGAAAGCTTCCATGTCCACCCAAATCTGCCCAAAGGGCCTGGAGTTCAGACTGCTGCAACTAACTTCAGACCATTCTACACTTGTTTTGCTTATATTGGAAATCTTTGAAATTGTTAG